TGAGTATAGATGTGAGAGAAGAGTCACCACCATCGCCACATAAAAACCCAGACAGTCACTCAAAGATCTCAAGAGATCAGTCTAAAGCTCGTACGACTAACGTTGGAGTGTACTATGGTAAAGAGGTGTCTAAGGTAAGAACCTCTAAGCAGAACCTTAGAGGCACTCATGCCAGAATATGCGTGTTCTGCGAAGGCGAACACTCTAGCACGAGTTGCTCGGAGTATATAACACTGAGCAGTAGGCAACAGAGACTAAGGGAGTTGAGACTCTGCTTCAAGTGTTGTGGGGAACACTATGCGAGAGACTGTGGCACCCAGCTCAGTGAGTGTCGAGTCTGTTGCAAAGGTAAGCACCATACTGCACTATGTCCCAATAATTTAAGGGAACCCCAAGCTAGTAGGGATATCTCTCAGGTAGAGATAGAAAGTGAGTCCGAGCCTGAAATGGTAGCCAGCGTGATTAGTGGGAGTGAAGTCTCTAATCCGAGTGAGAATCATGGAGGTGCTGCCCTACCTACAGTCATGGCAAAGGTTGTGAATGGGCACAGGTCCGAAACAACCGATTATTCTTTGACCCAGGAGCACAAGTATCCTTGATAACAAAGAAGTTGGTGGCTAAATTAAATTTGAAGGCCACAAAGAAAGTGAGTATGATGTTGGGAGGGGCTATAAGTCAGGTCCCACCCAAATCTTATGATGTGGTGGATGTCACAGTCAAATTAGGTGGACATCGCAGAGACATTACAGCCTTGGTGGTAGAGGACATTACCAGGGCAATAACAGTGAGAGGTCTTGCTGCAGCAGCTAAGCGATTGAAAGACCTTGACGTGAAGCTGGCAGACCAGGGAATTACCACTGACACGGTCAGAAATGTAGGTATCCTGGTGGGAGCCAATCATATAGATGACTTCCTGTCTACACGATGGACGTTTAAGGAAGGAATTGGTTTATACAGATCCCCAGTAGGATACATCATAGGCGGCAGGATTCCACCTGAATTCCCTGCCACGCCAGATAGAGGAGAAGCTGTCCCATGATAGCTGGGGGGAGTAGTTGATAATGAGTACCAGTATACACGATGAACCGCCAGGGGAGCTGAACCAGGTAGGGAGTGACGAACACTCGGCCACCTTGGGAAAACACTTTTACAGGGTACGTAAAGAGGGAGATAGATTGCCTTTAAATCCAGGGAACCTCGTAACAGTGGGAAGAAAGGCTACCAGGGCATGTGGGCCACTGGGTGGGAAAGTACGGAGCCACTCAGTCAAGGCTAGACATGCGAAAGATGTTAAAGTTAAGGGAAAGGGTGCTAAGACCACCGGAACCAACAAGTTTACACCCCCAGAGGTCCACACAAGGGAAACTGGACGGTTGAAGTTAGACCGGAGTCTGCTCGACGAGAGTGGCTGGACGGCACTCGTGTCCAGGGTCCGCCGTGGGGGCTTGCGGAAGGTGAACTTGATTTAGACTTAGCACCTACCTTTGCCGGCGGGAGGATGTGGAAATTTATTTGGTCCCTAAAGTTCCACAGGACAGATCCATCATGGCCGTATGGGACGGCTGAGCTGGGCGGCCCTTAAACCCTCCCAAACAAACAAAGCATTCTCTGGTTGGCGATTGTTGGTAAGCTTATTTATTTATAGATTTACCCTTCAGGGAAGGAGTAGGTAGTTCTACTGATAGTATATTAATATTAAGTTTACTAAGGCAAATGTAGATAATAATAATGTACACCTAAGACCTTAACATAGGTAGTAATAGGCCGTTAATGTAGGCAAACACTAGGATAAGTTAGCTAGGGAGAACTGGCAGCCCTAGTTTGAATGAAGAGATGAGGGTCTGCAAGAGGGACCAGCTCGTTCTTCTTAAGACGGACACCAACAAGACAAGACGTGCCGTGATCAGCAGACGGCACCCCCACGTGTCTTCACATCTGAGACTTGGGGAAATCTGGTAGAGGCACCTCGATGTACCGTAGATGACCTCCGTCAGGCCCATACAGTAAGACAAGACCTTCACTTTTTCTCGTAGATTACTGGCCAGTGTCTGGGGAGATTGTGAGTGAATCAACTGTGGGCCCGGTTGCAACAGGTTGAGAATACCCAGTAAGTACCAGTGTCTCAGAGCAGTCTTGAAGCTAGTGTCTGAGTCTGCATAGTTATACTAGGGGATACATACCCTCTTGGATATAGGAATTTCTGAGGTGCAGGCAGGACACTAATTACAATTGAATATTGCAGGAATTAATGCTCCCGGTTGCACGTGGTTTCTGAGGGGGAGTCCAAAGGGGCTAAGGCTAGCTTAGGGAAGTGAAGATCAGGATATATGCTGCAACACCAAGTAAGTTAGTCCTTTATACGTGCATGCAGGCGAGGTTTCTTGCAATACCAATCATTTGTGAAAATCTGTCCTATAAGCCACTTGTGAGGCTGAGGTACCCACCTCAGGGTTCGGTGTCAACAGAGTTTGCCAGGGTAAGCGACTCACTTGGAGGCAGTCCACACAAATTTTCACACTTGTAGTGAAAATTAATACACTGGGAGACGTACATTACATGCGGTGTAAACTTCATCAATTTCTGACGACACGGCTTCTATTACACATTAATAAATTTCACTTGAAGATTCGGCCGATTTCCAGTTCCTTGAGAGAGCCAACACTACTTCTCCGGATGGCTACCCGGGCATTACTCCTCAGATACAGTTTTCTTTTTATGACCTCTCCACTGGGATCAAATAGTGAGCCGAGACGAACAACAAACAACCTTCCACACCTGTGTATTCATTTTCACACTTGTAGTGAAAATTAATACACTGGGAGACGTACATTACATGCGGTGTAAACTTCATCAATTTCTGACGACACGGCTTCTATTACACATTAATAAATTTCACTTGAAGATTCGGCCGATTTCCAGTTCCTTGAGAGAGCCAACACTACTTCTCCGGACGGCTACCCGGGCATTACTCCTCAGATACAGTTTTCTTTTTATGACCTCTCCACTGGGATCAAATAGTGAGCCGAGACGAACAACAAACAACCTTCCACACCTGTGTATTCATTTTCACACTTGTAGTGAAAATTAATACACTGGGAGACGTACATTACATGCGGTGTAAACTTCATCAATTTCTGACGACACGGCTTCTATTACACATTAATAAATTTCACTTGAAGATTCGGCCGATTTCCAGTTCCTTGAGAGAGCCAACACTACTTCTCCGGACGGCTACCCGGGCATTACTCCTCAGATACAGTTTTCTTTTTATGACCTCTCCACTGGGATCAAATAGTGAGCCGAGACGAACAACAAACAACCTTCCACACCTGTGTCACCACTACTGCCCTCTTGCCTTCTACACAACCCCCCTCCCCCCCTCAGTTGGAAGCACTCACTCGCTTCCTCACAAGTAGTTTGGTAGTTTGTGACTACCATTAATTAATACTTCATATTTACATTATATTATATTAACACTTCACATACACATTATTGATTATAGGAAAACTATAGCAAATTTTCCATAATTTTCATACAAGAAATTACTCTCTTTGTGTAGCCTTATTTTTTTATATATTTTATTTATAACTCAGGTACAAAATATATGGGTACATAAATTAATATGTAACAAGATACAGGCAGTGAGCAATAATCAACTGTGACTTCACAAACTACTGAAAGAAGCACATATATAATGACATCAGAACTGACTTTTTTTATATTTTATTTAAAAAACCAGTATACATACAATTTACATACAGTGAGAACATATCAGCGATTAACAATCAGGTTATATAAAGGATAAACACAATCAAAACTTTCACATCAAAAGAGTATTAGACCAATACCCTGAACTTTTTTTTTTATATTTTATTTAAAACATTACAATACAAGGTGGAAATTATATTAAAAGGTACACAAAATGAGTTAAATCACAAATCCCCAATTTACCTACACAAAAATGACAACACCAGACAAAAGTGTTCTGAATCCTGTCACTCCACACACCATACTACACCCAGTTTTTTTTTTATATTTTATTTAAAAGACATACATAGTACATAAAAGTAAACGACAAATTACATAGTGAAAACAGTGATGAAAAATTCTGCATAGTACATGTACTTTCCAATTAACATATTACATCTGAAAGACACAAATCTGTACAGTAAACAATGACCACTCCAATCCTTGAAATAATGACATTATGTCTGGAACACTAAATCTAACCTAAAGACCCCTTGGCAAGTACATCTAATTCCTGATTGTACATCCTGCCATGGAATGTACACCTTATATTCTGAAAACACTACCCCCCCCCCGCCCTTCTTGCATGTCAAGCCACCTGACACGTAACAATCTTTATATGTAACTGTATATTGTATGAAATGCTTTCATTATTCTCTGCTCAGACGTTGTGCTGAGCGGTTGTCAGCTGTTGCTCCTCAGTCCCGACACCTGGTGGAGGAGTGTTTACAACATCAACAACAATGGCGACTGCGTTTCGCCGCCATGTTAATACTGTTTGTATTCAACTAACGCAGGGTTCTATCACCGGCGAATCAGTAAATGTGTTACTGCCAGCAATCATTCGTGATACTTATGGCATTCAACGTGAATCCTTGTGTGGCGTCGCCTTGAATGGAACTACACGGATCTTCGTCAAGTTTTGTGACACTCAGATGTACGAGAAGATTGTGACCCAGTACCAGGATATAAGTAAGCAAGTCACCCCAGCAGTTTCTGTCCAGTTGCATGACGTTTCACGATACTATACGTGGGTACGTGTGAGAAACGTGCCTTTTGAGGCCAATGAAGTTGATATACGTGATGTTTTTGAACGTTATGGGAAGATCCACCTGGTCACCATGGGTAGGTGGTCTGACGGCCACTATAATGGCCTTCAGGAGGGGTCATTTACGTTGAAAATGTCCCTGCGTCAGCCGATTCCTTCGTACGTACAACTGGAGGAGTTTCGTTCCCAGGTGTACGTTACGTACCTGGACAGAGAAGAACTTGCGCCTCTGCGGCGCTCTGATCACATAGCGGCTCAGTGTGTCCAGCGCCAGCCGCCATCGGGGCGTGGTCGTCGACCTGACGGTGAGGTACCCCGTCAGGCTCTGGAAGAGGAGGTTGTCGAGACCTCGCCGCGTATGACATCATGGAGTGCCGAGGTTGATAGGGCCATGCTACTAGAGTCATCTTGTGTGACTCTACCTGGGACTGCCTCCCTTGACGAGGTGGAACATGTGAACAGTGAAATCCCTCTAGCAAGAGAGACAGGTGAGATGGAAGCCGACATTGTATCTGCGTTAAGTGACCTATTAGCATCGCATGAGTCTGATTCTGTGCTGTGTTCTGATGGGGGGAATTACGTGCAGATGTGCTGATCAGATAGCTAAAGTGAGAGATTTGGAGAGTTCGAGGTTTCATACTGTTGAGGCAGAAATTCACAAGGAGAACACTCCAAGTACTGACATGTCTGAAGATGCTGTTTCTAGGAAGCATGCGGCTACCCCGTCCGACTCCGATGATGTCTTGACCCCTGGACAACGTTCAGGGAAGAAGACGTGGTCGGAAATCACGGGTGGGGGGAGGTCGCACGAGTCCAGGACAGCAGGTAATATCACGGGGATTGCCAAAGGTGCGGGAAGTGCCTTGAGTGCTTGCCGGCGCAAAGAGATAAAGGGAGTGGTAGCCCCTAGAGGAAAGCCATCTTTAACACAGTTAGGTGTGTAACTATTAATGTTAATGGTTTGAAATCTGTCAGAAAGTGTGTGCAGGTGCGTGAGTGGTTGAATCGTTTTGCAGTGGATGTGTGTTTTTTGCAAGAACATAACCATAAAGTAGGAAGTTTGTTTGAGATGGATGGTTATGTGATTTATGTGACTCACTCCAGACGTCTGAAAGGTGGAGTGGCTGTGTTGATAAAAGCGACCAGCCCGTTTGTGCTGAGACATTGGGAGGAAGGGGGGAGAGGGTCGCGTGGTGCGAGTCGTGGGGGATTGGGGTAGTAGAAGGGTTGGTTTTGTAGGGGTATATGGGCCGGCTGAACATGATGTTAATATTAAAAATACTTTTGTTAGAGATGTCTTGGTATATTATTTGAGGTCCCTGCCAGAAATTACAGTGGTAGGTGGTGACTGGAACTGTGTAGTGCGCCGTAAAGATGTTGAACCGAGGGGGGCGGGGTTCTGTTCGCTTGTTTTGGGTGACTTGTTGTCTGGTTTGGGGTTGGTTGATGTACGCGGAGGACGTGACTTCGGGATTGAGCATACTTTTGTGTGTAGGGACTATGCAGCATGTTTAGATAGGGTGTATGTGTCTCGGCGGGTGGTCGTAATCAATGTGCGTGTATTGAACGTCTTTTTCTCCGACCACCGGGGAGTTTTTGTGGAGCTCGACTGGGGAGGTCTCCCACATCGTTTTAAGGGATACTGGAAACTGAATACGTGGATGCTACAAAGTGCGGATGATAGGGAACTATTCGAGGACTTCTGGGCGTCTATGGGAGTAGACTCCTGGGAGGGATGGGATTTAGTACGACGGTGGGATGAGGTTGTGAAGCCTCGAATTAAGGATTTTTATGTGAATCGGTGTAAGGAGGCCACTCGCTTGGAGTATGGTTTTCAGAGGTACCTGGAGGGTCATCTACGACAATGTTATGCACAGGGAGAGGCATCTGGGGTTTACCCAGTGGATGAGATCGATGCTATTAAAGAACAAATCCAAGTATTGAAATAATAAGGTTTTCGATGGGGCGCGGCATTTCGAGTGGGGTGGAGGAGGGCTTTGTGGGGTGACAAGCCGTCTGCTTGTGTCTTACAAAGTCAGACACAAAGGCGAAAAGCGACTGAAATGTGAGTTTAGTGGTGCAGGATGAAGTTGACGGGTATAGTGAGGGACAGGTCTTAACAACAACTGAGGGGATAAGTTTTATGTCGATACTTGGAGTAAGATCCAGATGCAAAGTAAAGACGTGAGTGGAGCATGCGATACAGGATTTGGGGAGAGGCGTACGATGCGAGTTAAATGATTATGATCGCCTTCTCATGGGTGGGCCTATATCTGAGGCAGAGGTGTGGGAGGCACTACAAGGAATGAGTAAGGGGAAGGCTCCAGGCATTGATGGCATCCCTTGTGAATTTTATATCAAACATTGGGAGGTAATACAGACTTTTATGGTTCGTTTACTCAATGCGATGAAGGAGGGGGGGGGGGTGTTAGGTCTGTCTCAGCGTACGGCAGTGTTGGTCTTAGTTAGGAAATGTGATGTGCCATTAGCGATTAAGGACTACCGTCCCATATCGTTGATGTGTAGTGACTATAAACTATATGCGAAAATATTGATGAATAGAATTAAGAAAGTGTTTGATAAGGTAATCCATAAGAGTCAGTTTGGTGTGCCAGGTAGGTCAATGTATGATGGTCATAGGAATATTAGGGAGTTTGTTGAGGAATGCTGGGTGAGGGGTGGGGGTGGTGTTTTGGCTTTAGACTGGCGAGCTGCTTTTGATAGTGTGGAAAGAGAGGTTCTGTGGAAATTTATGAGATGGCAGGGTTTTGGAAATGAGGTCATCATGTGGGCCCGTTCGTTGTACAATGGAGCGGGTTTTAAAGTACAAATTAATGGCAAGTTAGGTGTTTTTGTACACATGAGCAGGGGCATTCGTCAGGGATGCCCCATGTCTCAAATGTTTTTTGCATGTATGCAGGACCCATTTTACTGGGCTGTTTGTGGGCGGGGAATAGAGACACCGTGGGGTCCGAGTAGTGGTCGACCGACCCTTGTGGGTTATGTTGATGATACTACTGTGTTATTACATTCACGGGAGCAATTGGGTTTTGTTGGGAGACTTGTTGACATATTTGGCAAGGCTACGGGGATGTGTGTTAATAGAGAAAAATCGAAAATTATGGAGTTGGGGGAGTGGGTGGGGGATGGGGTGGATGCAGAGGGGTGGACTGTGGTTGATCGTATCACTATATGTGGTATTCATTACATGCGGGAGGTCGATCAGATGAGGGCGTGCAATTCGGGGAGGGTTGTACATAGTGTCTTGGGGCGCTTAAATAGTCTACGGCCGCGACATTTAACCCTGCATCAGAGGGCGGTGGTCATTAATGTCCTGCTTTATAGCAAAGTATGGCACGTTGCTGCACTGTATCCTCTGTTGCAGGGGAACGTCAAACGTCTTTTGCATAGAGTTTATCGATTTTTGTGGGGTTCAGGATGCGATTGGCTCACAAGAGCGATGGTGGAGACACCACTGCATCAGGGAGGGTTGGGTCTCATTCCTCTAGAGGCTCGTGTCATGGCATGTTACGTGAAGCGTCGTTTTCTCCGACTGGGTGGGATGCATGGCGGGTTAAGCGGGTTAAGCGAATTGTATCACGACCTGCGCAGGTGGTGGAGAGGGAGGAATTTAATTTGGTGCGACGCCATGCTTCGCGTATTATTGAACATGAGGGACGTGCGCTGTGTAAAATTATGTACCTTAGAAAGGGCGGGTAGGGAGGTAGTCGTGGTGCGAGTTGAAGGAATGTATCCCATGTATGCGTGGGGTGATATATGGAGGCGAGTTCAACAGTTGCGTCTGCCTGCTCAAGTACGGGAAGTGGTTTTTAAACTTTTACATGGAATCTTGCCGTCTGGGGTGGTGTTGTATAATAGGCGTTTGGAGGAAGACTGTGGTTGTCCGGTGTGCGGGATGGAGGAATCTGCTTTTCATGTTGTGTATTTCTGTGAGACTTTAGGTATGGTACGAGAGTGGTTCAGTAGGGTTTTGCGTTTGGTAGGGGGGGGAGAGTTTGTCGGTACTCCGGGCGTTGAGTTTTGATGTAGGTGGGGTTGACTTGCGTGTACAACGTGCGGTGTTGCATGTTGTGGCCGATTATATTTTCGTGTCATGGGCTATGAGGCAAGTTGATGGTAACAGTAGAATTAGGGTGTTAGCAGGGACGAGTTATAGGACAAAATGTCGAAATAGGTTGGTATATGAGGGGAGATGGGAGAGAGACTTCCCGCCTGAATATAAAGCCTTGGAGTTACGAGATTTGAGATAGTTGTGAGTGTTCAGTGGGTAATCTAACGGGCTGGTCAGCTGTGTCTAATTGTGTTTGTTTAAGTGCGTGAATGTTTTGTGTCCTCAGAGTTTATGTGCGTCTCCTATGTAAGGGTGATGACGAAATATCTTACGTGCTTTGTATATACAACTTTTAGGAATGTTTCTCGTCATTTATGCCTCAATTACAAGTCATTGGTGTACTTTTTGTATATGGTGTGCTTCCTAGCACAATTGAAACGTTTTTTCTTATTTCCGTTTATATTTTATGCCGTGTCCGTGTGCTTTTCAATAATATATGTATATATGCAAGTTTTCGTTTTCCTGTAAGCTGTGATGGAGCTTGAACTATATGTGGAGGCAGTATTTTTCAATGTGTGCATCTCGTCAGTGTATAAGTTCACTTATAGCTGCTGGCATTTGAGTTTTATTGAGATGTCAAATATCACAGTGTATTTTCGTTTTTGTTATATTAGATATTTTCATTTTAGTGAATAGTAAGCGTCATCCTGATCCACCTTTGACTGTAATGCCTATTCTTAGTCCATGATCATAACCCCGTGGTAGTTGCCCAAATTAACGTATTGTTGTGGTCTTTAAGGCACCTGAGTTCTTAGATTAAGTCTTGGATACGTTGTGTGTTGGCAGGCGGAAGCCACGCCTAGTAATATGCCAGATGAAGTATCACGTTGTATAATACGTGATCGCTTGTGTATGTGTGTAATTCTGTGTGCTTGTTTTTGTCACATTGTTTATTTGTATAGTGTTTATATTTTCCTGTGTTTTGACTTTATTATTTATTTATATAAGAATCTAGTTAGTGCCTGGTATCTCGTTGGCATATTATTTTATGCACCCATAACTATTTTGTACCTGAGTTTTCAATAAAAAAAAAAAAAATCCTATTGTATAGGGGTTAATTTTGGGAAGAGCATGTACTTGTTTTTAACTGAGATTGTGATGTAGGTCATTACTCTGATTATATACTGTGAAGGTTGTGAACCTTTGTCATATGTCAGTCACAGTATGTTAGCTATACAAATCTGAAAGGTTTATATATTTTATATTTTATATAGTTTATATAGTTATAGTTTATATTGTTTATATTATAGTAGTATGTTATATGGAAAATTTTGT